CCGTGCCCGCTGGGGCGGGGCCGTGCCCGCTGGGGCGGGGCCGTGCCCGCTGGGGCGGGGCCGTGCCCGCTGGGGCGGGGCTGTGCCCGCTGGGGCGGGGCTTCGCTGCCGGTACCGCGCCCCGCCCACCCCCTGCCCGCTGGAGCCCGCGGGCGCCCTCTGGCGTGCCGGCCCCTTCGCGCACCACTCGGGACCCGCACCCGCCCCGGCTGATCCGCCGGGCACCCAGCTCCATCCACCGCCCTCCCCTCCCCGCCCCGCTCTCTCCAGCAGCACGTACCTGATAGTACCCGAACTGCCCCTGCTGCCGCCGCCTCCTCACCCAGTAGTAGGCGACGCCGGCACCCGCAGCCAGCACCARCGCGAAGCACAGCGCTGACAACGTCCCCGTGGCCACAGAGCTCGACCCCTGAGCCGCACCGTTCACCTGTGCCGAAAACAGCAGCGCCGTCACTGCGCTGTCMCGGCACRGCAATGGCACTGCCCCGGCTGCTGSTCCCCAGTGGGACCGTGGGCAGCCCTCCCAAAATGAGCCACACCAGAGAGCACAGGACAAGGCCAGTTCTTGCGGTGACTGTCAAGTCATTCCTGTTCCCAGGCCCTGTTCGTGTCCCAGACTCACCTGGCCAAGGTGAASGACAGGTGGGATCCTTAGTGGCTCTGCTATCACGTGAATGATGCCATTGAAAGCTACGATGTCCCACTCCACAATCATCGTGTCATTGATCCTTTTGGCGTCCTACAGCACAGGACACAGATAATGTCACCTGCCTAGAAAGGCTCCCCATCATTCCCTGTCTCAAAAGAGATGTGGTGAAAACTTGTGGGCTTTTTTTGCCCTCTGCCAAAGCTAAACCTACTGAGTGCTCTGTACTGTTGCTYGCTGGGAGGTCTGATACATGGAGGTCGTATCCTGACTGGGATGGGATGATSGTGCCCGTCGTGAGGTTGAAGCTGAAGAGGACGACATTGCTGGACGACACGTGGAGCTTCAGTTCTTCTCCTGTCAGCGTCTGAATRAGCATCAGTGCACAGGGGTGAGAAATGGATGACCTGGTTTCTCCCCTTCCCTGCTGCTCCMCCAGCCCCATCCAGACTCTCCATGGCCACAACAGCTCAATTCATGGACAACATGGCACACAATGATTGTGCAGAGCAGGGGGAATTTGCCACCCTTAGGATTGTCACACCTCAGCTGGAGAAGCTCTGAGCATCCTGACCTGACCTCTATGGCTCGTCTGAGGGAGTTGTTCAACTAAAGACCTCCATTGATCTCATCTGGCCCACATTCCTCCTTCTCCCCCAGACTGTTTCACACCATCCTGCCAGCTTTGGTGACACTTGCTCTCCTCTGGGGCTCTGATAGTTCATCCCTGTTTGCTTACCTCATTGTCTGCAAAGCCCGAATTCAGAGGGACAAAGAGAGTTTTGGGAGCAGAGACATCAGACAAATACATGAAAAGATCCAGTCCTTCTTCTGTCTCATTGGCGAAATTGAGCAACATCTGGAAGAGATGGGAGATCTTCGCCATCAGTATATTGCTGGCAGCACAACGCTGTTACCTTCCCCCCATCAGGAACTCTCCAGCCCTGGAAAGAAAGCCCCTCTCTGTGTTTGTACCCTGCACACAGACCCAACTCCACCTCCTCCCTCCCTCTGCCTTGCTGCTCCTGCAGAAGAGCATCGCTTACGGAATAGAAGGTGGAGAAGCGGTCCTGGTCTGCGAGYACATCGGGGAGTTTCCCCCTGCACCAGTACCCATCTCCCACAAACCCATCAGGACAGGCGCAGGTCAGATCTGCAAAGGAACACCAGGGTGTGATTGGACTCACCAGTGCTGGCTGCACCAACCACCTTTGGATTTCTGGACATGTGGGCATGGCAAGAGGGGGTGTGCCCACATGCCCTTATGCTCCAGAACAGYTCCTGCCTCCTGCCCTGACACAGCTCTCGTGCCCACCAGGAAATGTGCTGGCACCACTCACCCTTCTCCCGGTAGCAGAACGCATCCCAGGTCTCACTGAGGTTGCTCCGGGAGCCATAGTCCACAATGCCCACACGGCTGGACCCACAGCTGGGGTTGGGGTAGGCTGTGGGGTATCCAGCTGTGCCATTGTCCAGCCAACCCACCAAGCACAGATGGAATCCCATCTAGAAGAGGAAAATGAATGATTAAATTAAAAATACCTCTGTCCCAGGTTTTCTGCCCCAATGGAAATTTCCATTGTCCTTTATCCAACATGCCCCCACCACCTGAAGTGTTGGGCACAGTCACAAGTCCCATCCCAGTGTGACCAGCAAGACCCACCAGCCCTCCCGTTTCATGGCTGTACAGGGAGCAAACAGGGCCTGGCTAAGGGGATGAGAGGTTACCCACCCACACATCACCCCTGGGCTGGGCCCCAAGAGAAGCACAGCCTGTCCCAGCCCCACAAGGGGACAGAGCCACCCCTGGCCTGACCTGCTGCGCTGCCGAGAGCTGCTGGAATGTGGCCAGGGAAGCGCCTTCTGCAGCACAGGCTGCCTGAGCCTGCTCATAAGTGAAGTCGTACTTTTTTCGGGGTGACTGCAGATGGAACACGCCCATAGTCTTATCTGCAAAATACCAAGGCCCGGGAGCATCAGTACAGGACACACTGAGCCACCTCCCTGGGCAGCCATGTGGGTCCCTGTGCCAAGGAGGGTGGGATGTGGACAAGGCACAGGTGAGGGAGAGGTTTCCTCTGAGCTTCTCGCCTTCCTCTGGTCCCACCAGAGGCCATCTCACCTCACATGGGAACAGACAAGGACGGCTCATCCTCCCCATATGACATGTGGGGAAAAGAGGAATGTCAAAACCACACCAAGCTACAGCAATGAGTCCCTGTGCCCTTGGCCATCCCACCCTCCAGCTTTCCTGAGAAGAGCTCCAGGCCAAAGGTGAAGGATGAGGGAATGTGCCCACCAGGTCTCTCTGTGGAACATCATCTCTGGCACTGTGGGGTTAAGCRCACTCACCATGGAAGTGCAGGTCAGTGCAGATGGCCTCCCGGTGGCA